ATATTTATATATTTATATATACACACACACGTACGTGTGTGTGTGTGTGTGTGTGTGCATAATTCTATATTCATGTAGATGTCTGCAGGCAAAAGTTTGTATATAAATATTTAAAATTAGCATATAAGTAAATCAACATAATTTACATTGTGTACTAGTGTATATAAAGGTATATATGTATATAAGTAGTTATAGAAAGTAAATGTTCACTGAATATTCAGAAAAAACCCCATATAAAATATTTACGTAAATGCTTATTTGTTTATCTGTTTAATATACAGTTCATTAATCGTTGTTTTTATGTCACATATATAAGAATTTTGTTTTTAAATCATAATAGACATGAAGAAAATTTGTATATTCATGACAAAAAGAGATGTCTGCATGCAAATGTATATATATAAAAATTGTAAATGCTTTATATTGTAAACATTTAGTAAATAAATAAATCGTGATTTTTTATATAGTTATAAATGAACATGAAACTACATGTTTATACAGCACATGTTTATACATATAGTATAATGTATAATGTAGTATAATGCCGTGTAAAATGTTATGATATTTCAATATAGTGAAAATGTTCTGCTGCACAGTTTTACATTAAAATTGAAAAAAGTAAAAACAAATATCTGTGATAATTGTAGCAAATATGAAATCCCTCTGTAATGTTAAACATGATAAGAATTACAAAACTTTATTTTTGGACTTTCTACAAACATTCACAAAAACACTGTTACCTGAGGAGTGCGGGCGGTGGGGCAGGTAGGCAGTGGGGTAAGGCGTGTGTCTCCCAGGGTATCCATGGTGTTTATAACCATGGTGATGATGTGATGTCAGCGGGAGGCTGCTGCCATAAGGAAAAGCACCTCCTCCTCCAGCTGAGCACAGCGACCAACCTTACACACCAAAGCACACGCAAATATTTGTTTACCTAAAATGTATCGATAGTTTGTTTTTTTGTGTCAAGAATAGCAAGAAATATATACGTACACAAAAATAAAAGCACAAGAAAAGTAAATGCTCAGAAAAACTGTTTATAAAAAAGGAATAAAATATGCTGTCAAAATCAAACACTTTCATAGATTCATAAATTTCATACCATGGAAATAAGATTTTAAATTTTTCCCACAAAATCTGATTTTTATTTTAATCTTCAAATTAAATTTCAAAAAGCATAAAAGTCCAATGTTTTTATTTCGATATAAACTATGAAAAAATGTAATTGTCTCTTTCATGAGGCTATATAAAGCTGTGAACTCACAGGACTGAATCCCAACACGGCCCTCTGATGGCTCAGGCAAACTCCGCCCACCTGGGATCCTGAGGAGGATAAATCAAACACAGCCATCAAGACAATGTGAGTTTGTGTGTCTGTGTTCAGATGTGTGTGTGGTTTATATTGTATAGAGTCTCTCACTTGACACCCTCTCTCCAAATGAGTGAGACGGTGGAGTTCATAATGACTCTCTAATCGCCTGCTAACGCTAACTTCCTCTGTTATCCTGGTGAGAAATGCTAAGCGTTAAGTGTAAAGTGTCAGCAGTCATTGCAGGCACATGGCTGTGGTGTAAAATATCTCTGGATGGGACAGAAATCTGACTCATCCACAACTGCACACTCATTATATATGACATACTAGATCTCACAGCTATTGCATATAATCACGAGTTGATTTTAGAACATCATTTGTTTATGTGGAGATTTTGCAGTGATGTTTGGGTCCCCTGATCACAGTTTTCTATCTCAGTGAGTAAAATATAAGCTTAAAGTGAAGTATGTCTTTATCTCCACCTTTTACTTATTCAAAATAACAAAAAATGAAAAGAACTGTCTAAAGATTTATCATGATGTTTAGTTTGGGAGCTGAGAGCCTGACCTCTTGAAGTCAACCACTTTGGATACTGAGGTGTGTTTATCACCACTCCAAAGTCAGCTGAACCACCCTGAAGCTCTTCGGTAGTCAAATGCCCTTTTAGTCTTGCTAACAATCCTTCCATCAGTTCTCCCCCAACCTTTTCTTGGTACTGAAAACTAAAAGGCACAGAACATTTGAGATGGTGCATTACCTCTCTTGTCATAAATAATACCTACATTTTATTTTCTATGCAGATGATATCCAACTTTATTTATCTATGGTGCCGAAATTATTAGTTAAACTAGAGCCACGACTTAAGGACATAAAGGCCTGGATAACCTTTAAATGCACCCCAAACTGAGGTTGATGCACCTGGGCCTAAAAACGTTATGGAGTCTAACCAGAAACTATACCATATACTTTACATATGTCTCAGAGCTATGCTGAAAGCTAGTTGACTTTGCAGAGGTGAGAGCACATTTTTGTTCTCTTTTAAAGACCACCCTGCACCACCAACCAAATAAACAGGTGCCCTGCTGGTCCAATCCAGTTTTAACTCCCTGCTAGTGAAGAGAAAACCCGACCATGATGGATGAGCTATAGTTGGATCTATTTTTAATGTTATCTGTAGTGCAGTGAAAGTCTTCTGCCGTGTGTTACCAGCATGCAGGAACTTTGATCAAACAGAGCTGTTCTACTTCTGTAGAAGTTATCTGCTGCTTTTAACGTGAAAATTGCCGTACAAATAACTCTTGCTTTCTTCATGATAATTACTTTAAATGCTCTGAAAACCTAATATGAGAAACAGGACATTTTTAACCCTTGTGCAATCCAGCTATCTTTGCAACTAAAAAGCAAAATTACAGTGAAGTCATCATAGTCATCCGTTGTTTCTAACTCAATCTGAAAAAAAAAATCTGGTTGGCAGAAGCGTAATATTTCAAAGATTTTGTGTAGAAATGCACAAAACATTTAGATTACTGAAATATCTAAACACTGTCATAATGAGATACCTAATTATTGAATATATACCAGCAAAAGGGCTAATAAATCAAAGCCCATTGTGTTAAAAATGTTCATATTTCACAGCTTTCCATTCTCCGTGGCACATTAATGTGGAAAATCCTGTAAAAATCTATGAAAAGTTTTGGAGGCTAGATTTATGTTTTTATAATTTAAAGTATCACAAAAGAACATAGAAATACACTATATGGCTACTGGGTCTCTTAAAGGGTACATCCAGTTTAAAAGTCAGATTAAAGTGTTTGGATGCTGTTGTTGTGTTGCTGTGCAGTGTTACCTCTCTTTGGCATCCAGAAAGGCTTTAGCGAACGGGTTGTATTTGATCTTTAGGGCTGTGATCTGCACAGAAAAACACAGAAACATCCACATCCTGTTACGTTATTTTACACTCAAGAAGAACAGAGCACCTCAGCTGTGAAATGTTAAATGACTTTTATGCATAACAGTCCATTTATTCGACAGAGGCTTCATCTTTCATTGATCTGTTCATCTGCAAGTAATTTCTCAATCAGGCTTCTAGATGAATATCCATTTTCACGTCCACTTATTGTATTATTTCACAGTTCTGTTTAATAAATTCTTCCTCTGTTTTGATTTGAATAATTAGTGTGTGTTCCCAATCTGTTTTTATTAACTGTGATCTCAATAAAATGAGAGAATAGATTATTAATAACCTGAACGTGACCAACTAAGTAAGGGTTTGCTGTTGTAACATTAAAAATGGAATATATTATACCCTTAAAAACTGATTCATCTCATTAAATTAAACAGATTCAGCTGGTAAAAAAAACTCTGAGCTTTACCTTTTTTTTAAACTAAATCAGACGTCTGAGCTTTACCTTTATAAAAAATTTCATACATTTGTATTCAAATGTTTTTTTCCGATTAAAAGATGTTGTGTTGTGTTTCTAATTCCGAGTCTGTGTCCCACAAATCCATATTTATTAAAAAGGTAATTGAAAAAAGAAACACTGTCCAATATTTCATGACACTTAATCAGCATTAAATCTGGTTAATTGGAATATTTGAGCAATTTTAGCTTGCTGGTGTTAGCTTTAACTTTGATATATCAAAATCAGCTTCAATTTTTCAAGAATTAGAACAAGTATAGCTGTGAAACTAGTTCTAGTTCACACCCAAACACCAAATGATATTGAAAATAGAACATCTTTTGTACCTCTTCATTCTGGTAGGCAGTGACGGCGATGAACTGCGTTTCTTTGAAGGAAACGTTAGAAACCAGTCGATGGCGAGAGCCAACACACACAATGTGGAGCTGAGGTTCATACTTATGGAGCGAATTCAACATAATCTGGGAAAATGAAGACAATTATTTCTACATTTTCACATTCATTTATAATTATTTAGACCAAGATTATTGTACATTTTTTCTGCACCTAAATGCTTTTATCTAAAAGTATTTGGCCCCCTTGAACTTTTCCACATTTTGTCATATTACAGCCACAAACATGAATCAATTTTATTGGAATTCCACGTGACAGACCAACACAATACAATTACTGAAAAGTGGGGTGTGCGTAATTATTCAGCCCCCTGAGTCAATACTTTGTAGAACCACCTTTTGCTGCAGTTACAGCTGCCAGTCTTTTAGGGTATGTCTCTACCAGCGTTGCACATCTACAGACTGAAATCTTTGCCCATTCTTCTTTGGGACAGCTCCAGCTCAGTCAGATTAGATGGACAGCGTTTGTGAACAGCAGTTTTCAGATCTTGCCACAGATTCTAGATTGGATTTAGACACCAGACAGGTCAGGGATAAAGTTATTGAGAAATTTAAAGCAGGCTGAGGCTACAAAAAGATTTCCCAATCCTTGAACATCCCACGGAGCACTGTTCAAGCGATCATTCAGAAATGGAAGGAGTATGGCACAACTGTAAACCTACCAAGACAAGGCCGTCCACCTAAACTCACAGGCCGAACAAGAACAGCACTGATCAGAAATGCAGCCAAGAGGCCCATGGTGACTCTGGACGAGCCGCAGAGATCTACAGCTCAGGTGGGGAATCTGTCCATAGGACAACTATTAGTCGTGCACTGCACAAAGTTGCCTTTATGGAAGAGCGGCAAGAAGAAAGTCATTGTTAACAGAAAACCATAAGAAGTCCCGTTTGCAGTTTGCCACAAGCCATGTGGGGGACACAGCAAACATGTGGAAGAAGCTGCTCTGGTCAGATGAGACCAAAATGGAACTTTTTGGCTAAAATGCAAAACGCTATGTGTGGCGGAAAACTAACACTCTGAACACACCATCCCCACTGTCAAATATGGTGGTGGCAGCATCATGCTCTGGGGGTGCTTCTCTTCAGCAGGGACAGGGAAGCTGGTCACAGTTGATGGGAAGATGGATGGAGCCAAATACAGGGCAATCTTGGAAGAAAAACTCTTGGAGTCTGCAGAAGACTTGAGACTGGGGCGGAGGTTCACCTTCCAGCAGGACAACGACCCTAAGCATAAAAAGATCTGAAAACTGCTGTTCACAAACGCTGTCCATCTAATCTGACTGAGCTGGAGCTGTCCCAAAGAAGAATGGGCAAAGATTTCAGTCTGTAGATGTGCAAAGCTGGTAGAGACAAACCCTAAAAGACTGGCAGCTGTAATTGCAGCAAAAGGTGGTTCTACAAAGTATTGACTCAGGGGGCTGAATAATTACGCACACCCCACTTTGCAGTTATTTATTGTATTGATTTTCGTTCCACTTCTCACGTGTACACCACTTTGTGTTGGTCTTTCACGTGGAATTCCAATAAAATTGATTCATGTTTGTGGCTGTAATGTGACAAAATGTGGGAAAGTTCAAGGGGGCCGAATACTTTTGCAAACCACTGTATATATATACATACTGGTACTGGAATTTCAAGTGTCCCTTTAATTCTTTTAAGCTGTATATTCATTTTTCCATCTTTACCCATTTACACACATCTAAACATTTTTATATGTCTTTCTCAATTTGTACCTGTTCGTATCTCTCTATATCTAGTTGTAATTGTCTGAAGCTACCTCTATCTGCTACTATCTATCCACCTTTTTAGAGGTTTTCAGTCATCTATAATATTTTTATATGCTTTCGCCCAATTATCTATATTCATTAACACCAGTTTGTACTCATCTATAATGTTTCCATTTCAATTCAATTCAATTCAATTCTGTTTATATAGCGCCAAATCACAACAGCAGTCGCCTCAAGGCGCTTTATATTGTACAGTAGATCGTACAATAATAGATGATCGTACAATAATAGATCCCCCGTCATCTATAATGTTTCCATTACCTGCTTGTGTCCATGTATATTATTGCCCATTCATAAATGTAACCATCTATATCTGGTTGTAACTGCCTACCTCATTCTATCCATACTTCAACATTTCCTATCTGACCTGTTTAGTTCATTTCAGTACTTTTTTACTGAAGTCCATTCTCTCTGAAGAGATCACAAGCCTCACGGTAAAAACTCGGCTCTAAAAGTTTGAAAAAGTCCAAACAGCTCTGTACTTTTGAATCAATTAACAGAAAACAAAGGTAAGTGTAGTTTTGTCAGTCAGTCAGTTTGTCAGTTTGTCTGACTGCAGGAGAGTTTATGGAGTGGAGCCATCTTTGTCTTTTGGCCAAAACACTCTTTTATCCATCTGTCTTTTCTATCTCGTCCATCTCCCCATCAACCCCCCCCAAACCCCCCTCCCCTCGCTAATGAGGCCCAATTAACCAATCCGAGTTCTCCGGGCGGACACACAAAAACAAACTGTTTTCTATTCAGATTGAGAGGCTGGCTTCAGATCTGACCCCGGCGCTGTGTGTGTGCTGGCAGTGCCCACATTAGCTGGAGTGTGTGTGGGCTCTTTTTGAATATAGTTTACCTCTCTCTCCCTCGTCCATCTGAAGCATGATGGGTAAATTAATTTCCCAGTAAAAAACATAATTACCATAATGTACAAATAAGCTGAGCAATTATTTCATTATGGCCGAGCTCTCTGTTCCAACTCTGCATTACTGCCCGGTGTGTGCGTGTCATGTTTGGACAGGGATAATGGGGTAAATATAAACAACATTATTGCCAATTTTGTAGTGCTGTGCACGTGTGTTTGTGTTTGTGTGTGCGTGCGTGCGCATGGAGGCCTCTAAGAGTGCTGAACAGCTCTCGACAGGAAGTGCATTAAACTGCTGCTGGCCAATTAAGAGCTGTTTATCCCGTTCCCGTGGTTACGAGGGGGCGAGCAGGTGAAGTGAGCGGAGAGAGGGACTGAAGTGGCTAATTAGAGGCGGTAGTCTCTCGCCCACTTCAATACAATACAGAGGGAGGGAGAGAGAGAGAGGGAAAGAGACGGAGACTCTTGACATGAACAGCAGGATAATGGACTCAAGAAGAAGAAGAAGACGGAGATGCAGAAGAAATACAGGAAAAAGTGTGGTAAAAGTGAAAGAGAGGGAAAGGGAGAAGAAAGAGAAGAATGAATAGTAGAAAATTACGAGAACAAAAAAGAAAGATTGAAAAAAGAAAACACTAGATTAAAGAGAGGAATAAAGTACTGAAGAAAAAAGGAACTACAAACAAAACAAAGGAAGCAAAAATCAGCAGAACAGAAACAAAAAAGAGAACAAAGGAGAGAAAGAAAACGAATACGAAATCACAGGAAAGAAAAAAAACAACAATTAAATAAAAACTGAAAATCTCAAAAATATATGAACAGACTGGATAAAAATCAAAGTATGAATGACTGCAGAAAGAACAAGTAAACACACAAAGAAATCAATGAATGAAGACATGCAGATTTTCAGGCTCTGTTCCACCCACCTGTCCTCCTCCGTTCACCTTGTTGGTGAGTTTGACCTTGTTGAAGGACACGGCCGCTTTCATCCAGTGAGCGCCGAAGTTTGGCGAGTCAGGGTGGATGTAGATGCCACCGTGGCCCCGGCCTTCGCTGCGGCTTTCCGCCCGGCCGGCCGCCACCCACTCCCCGTTTACAAACTTCCAGCGGCAGCTGTCAGCCGGGACGAAGTCCAGCAGGAAGGAGTACATGGAGCTGGGGTCCAGGCCAGAGACGCTCACTTTCAGCACTGGAAACATGCGACTGAAGAGAGACACACAGCTTGATTAAAGGGGAAAGTTTATGTTCACTCACAGAACCCAAAATAATAACAGAATTATGGGGCCAATACCAATTTTAATGCATTTTTCTTACATTATATTATAAGTTTATACATAGATTACACACATTGCCTATACATATGAATGTATCTCTATGAAAGTTTTCTTGAAGTTGAAGTTACTGTAACATACATTGCTGAACATTTAATCAACAAATTAGTCAGCAGCTTATTATAAAGATATGTTTTGACTTTGCTCACCACCTGCTCAGCTGTGGGAGCTGTTCTGCTATTATGTGATTGCAAATCTGAATTTACAGTTTCAGTTTCATTCTTTGGTTCAGTTTTTTTTAAGTATAACCAACTATAATGATAAAGTTATTTATGTCAACCTGAAGATTGTCCGACCTTTTTTCTCTTTTAGCTCCATTTTTGGTCACCACCGGCACCTCAGATAAATATCCAGGTTTTAAGCTGCCAAAGGATCCACAGCATTTTGTTTTGCTTTATGTTTTGGACTTTAGATGAAATTAAATATATACACAATATAACGTTTCATATAATGAATACATTTACAAACAAATACAAAATTATTGCAACTATTAAACTACATACAGATCAAACTCAAATATTGGGAATTTGTGGATCTGTTAAAAACATTCCAGAAGCCAACAGTAAATTTGAATAGTTCTATAAAACGTCTGTGATAATTTATCACAGTCACACATTTAGTTAACAGATTAATTTTTAAACTGACAGAATTTTCAGCTGCACTGATACACAGATAGTTGTTCCTTGTAGTTTCTCAGGAGTGAGGACTTTCTTGAGCTTTTCTAGGAAAATAGTTCAGCTTTGAGAGTTGGTCAAAGAAAACATGTAAGAGCCAATTTTCAGAAATTTCTGTCAAATTAGAGATAATGATTTATATATAACACAAATAATTGTTGGATGGAGTTTTAAAAGTAAACAGAATCCAAAAAAGTCTGGTACTGCAATTTTTTGACAATTGTGCCAAACAGCTGAAGGCTGTATAAAGGCATTTTAACAATACCAGATTTTAAGGGCTTTAGAGAAAATGTCTATAATTTTCAGACTAGTTTTTCTCCAAAGAGCCTCCTGACACTACGATTCCACCCCCATTTTATTCTCTGAATATACCTTATTCTTTATTTTTCATTCTGACTGGTTGACAGCGGTACAGCCAACAAATGCATTTCTTCGATAACCATCAATAACAACTGATGACTGATTAGAAAAATCCTTACCAGAGCTAAAATTTGTTACAGGCAGCATAAACTATGACAGATTATGATAACCAACCATCTCTGCATGTGAATATAAATTTATCACCATATGTTAAAAATACCAAAGTTTCCATCCTTCTAAAGCTGCTTTCAGACAAACAGTCGGCTCTCCAGCAGTAACAGCAGTTGAAGTGGCGTCCTGCAGGTGTAAATGGAGTGTTTGCCCACCGCAGGGCGCGACTGGTCAACACGCCTCGGCTTGGCACAAAAAAAACACAAAATGAAACACACAGAGGCGATGATAACAGCTGCTATCGAGACTAATGAATAACCCCGGTTAACAGCAGCACTGATCGGGAGTCAGCTTAAAACAGGGACACTCTGTGTTAATGTTTCTCCATCTCTGTGGTCATTTTTGCAAAAATATTCAGAAATCAAGTATCTTCTAAAACGAGCCATTATTTGTAGAAAAATGGGTAAGATTATGTTTTTAGCATCACAACAAAATAACAAATCTCTGCCAAACAAAGTACAAGTTGCCACATCTGCTCAGAAGAACCACCAACAAAACTCAATTTAGAAAAAACAACAACATAATTTTTCAAATATTTTCTTCTTCAAGCTTGTTTCTCTCATGAAGCCTGAATTATATATTCATGCTCAGAAAGAATATGGTGTATCTTAATGCCACTGAATTGAACATAATGATCTTTTAATGTCTGATTTTTCTGTTTCTAAACTGGCTGACTAGGAACAAAAGTTGATTAACTCTCACATAAAATGTTAGCATGCTACTGTATCATTCATTGACTGCTGATGCCAATGAAGTCATTAACTTATTATCGCAAAGTCACAAGTTGAAGCACTAGAAAGTCCTCCTAATGTTACCTTCACAGGGAGTAACAGAAATGCCAAGCTAAAACTGCCCGAGTAAACTTAGCAGCATTATATGGATCATAGCTATTTATAGGGCCGGTTGTATCTGAAAGGCTCAGTTTTTTATTTTTATTTTCACACTGACTAGTTGAAAGTTGCAAAGAACTGTATCTGTGTTTGCTAAATTACATTTTTCATTTGCAGACTTTCCTGACAAGAAAAATCAATTCTGTCAGTTTAGGAAAAGACTGAAAATTGCCTTTTTATGATTTTCTAACATGTTCGTTACTGAATACTGACGGTAAAGACAAAAGTTACCTGATATAATGATCTGTTTCCTGTTGGCTGTCAATCTGATGGCTGTTGACAATGTACTTTCAGAAAAGTACTTTACTGATATTACGTTTAACACATTCTATATCTAGAATGTATTAAAGACCATAAGTACTGTCCTTATTACCTCTATAACTTCAGAAGAAACTTCTCACAACTCCTAAATTATATCTGGACACTCTCAAAGCTATTTATCACTTCTAAATGAGCCAAACTCTTCTGATTTTCTTCCGAAAAGTCTTACAACACAATTAGAAAACGTTACTAATTGCATCCATAACTTCTCCAGGAGATCCTCAGAATCAACAAGGACTACAAATATCAGATGCCAGTCTCCCTAATAGCCTCCAGAGCTTCTTGTAGGCTTCTGAAACATCCAAAAGTATTTGTGGAATACTTTTTGGAGTAACTTATTGATTTTTTTTTTTGTGGAAATCTCTTCAATACCTTCAAAATCTAAAGAATCTCCCCCAAAGATCTAAAAAAAAAAATCTCCTGAACTAACTCAAAAACGTCTTTGAGACCTCTACAATCTCAACAATGGCTATCCAAACCTCCTCTTGTGAACACCTCTAAAACCCAAAACAAAGAGACACCCAGTGTCTCAGCTGGCTAATTATGAAGGCTTTGTTTAGGAGAAAACATGTTAACGTGTTTTTTCTATCAATGTAGAAAAGTGGGTGAGGTGGCTGCAGCTCAGGAGGAAATGTAGGTCATCTACTAACTGAAAGATTGGTGGTTTGATCCCTGCCTGCTCCAGTCTACATGCCAAAGTATCCTTGGAGGAGATACTGCACCCCAAGTTGCTCTTTGATGCAACTATCAGTGTCTGAATGTTACAGAGAAAACGCTTAATCGTAGAAAATGTGCTTTCATGAATTAGTCAGTATAAATGAGATGTTCTATAAAGCACTTAGAGCTGTAAGGTGCTGCAGAAGAATCAATTTATTTACCATTTACCCAAACGCCCTTGAGATTCACATGTTGATCAGCAGTAAGACTCAAAAAAGTAAACATTACTTAACGCGAAGTCTCTAATTGAAATGCATCCTGAGAATCTCTAATTCAGGTGTTTATATCCAGATATTTTTGTTTATTTAAGAAACGTCATTTATATTGTAATTTGTTCACCTTTTCTTTCAATTTTCTAAAGTATTCTGAAGCTGTAAATAAACTTTTGTTTCCACTACCAGGTGCTTCCTGAATAACTAACAGTTGCATTGAAGGAGTGAAGTTTGTTCATGGAAGTTTGTTAATTTGTAGCAACAATCTGAGAGCAGTTACCGTCCATTCTTGGTGACGATCATCTCGTTAGTGATGTGCTGGAATTTCCTCCACAGCTCGGCATCCTCTAACGTCACCCTCAGTTCCCGCTCTGTTGGGTCGCCCTTCTCCCGGCCGGCCTGCAGCTCGCTCTCCACGGCGCTCAGCAGCCGCGACATGCAGCGTTCAGCCGAACCGGGACTGCACATCGACCCACCAGCACCAGTGGCACTCTGATCTACAGATGACACTGAACCAGACCCTCCATCTTCCTGTAACCCCTCCACCTTCATCTGCAAACCCGAACAAAGACAGATTCAATCGTGATGAGTTTTACAGTTTTTATAACATTAATTTCACTTGAGTAAAGATGTTTGGATTATTTTTTAGTCTTTAGAAACTTGACAATGCAATCTGATCCACCTGAATATTTTTATTTTACTAATTTAGTCCACTAAGTGTAAATTTTACCACAAAGTATGATTCTTGTCTCAATAGACTGAAGAACACAGCAGTACTTCAAATAATGGGTAAAAAAAACACAGGCTGTATTTCTTCATATCGTCTCTTAGAGTCTGTTTTGTTGACCGCACTGAATCTCAAACATGGTATAAATTATGTTTTATTTGATATAATCATAGATCAGGTTTCACTGAATGTTGAAGACCTCACACATTCTTGATGAGTTTCTCAATTTTTAAAAGACCTTTTGACATTTCAAACTACATCCTAAATACAATTGATCATTGAAAATGATCAGGACCAAATCATATAACCATGGTTTTATATAATTTCTTAATAACACCTCTTTAAATTACACCAGCCCTCTAACGATCAGATTACACTTCACTGCTGCATTTAACAGGTGATTAGTAAATCCCACTGAAAACAAAATTTTCAGTCCAGTCCACTTTGAATTCATGCTACAGGTTTCCGTTTTTTTCTAAGCCACATAATCAGTTTAACTGAATGAAAAAAAAACATGAGCTGACGTTATTGTCATTGTTGTAGTTAGCTGGAGGACGGTGTCAGCTACCCGATAAACCCATATTGTTCCTGAAAATTTCTGCATTTGAAAATAATAGGCTGAATGCAGGTGGGGAATTTCTGGACCAAAGAAACGCAAAAAATAAGCTCGTTTTAGGAAGCAGTTTATCTGTTGTTTATTTTTGAAGCTTTTAAACAATCAACATTGTTTGATATGAAAGGAGCAAATGAAATGTGCTATAATCTGATGTTTGATTGTTCAGTTTAAAGGAATCTGAATGAAATAAAAGGTTTATTTATTTTTCCAAGTTGCTCTTGAATAGAAACCTTCTTTAACTGCATCATTTAATTTACAGTGGGTTCACAGACTGAAAGTGACACAAAGGGGTCAACAAAATTGTAAAGTCTTTTACTTTGTCAGTCAGAAGCATCTGCACACCCGACACCATTTGTCTTTCAATGAGACTCTTACTTGGCTTCTAGTATGGACCTGGAAGGAAACGATGCCTGAAACAAGAATGAAAATGAAGGATAAAAACTTAAAACACATACCTTTAAACACCATCAGTAGATCGATTTATTGTATTGTCATGTCCATTTATGCACAGTTATCACATGCAAATTGGGCAAACTGAACTAATGTTTTCTTTTTTAGGGTTATGGATTTGTTTGCCTCAAATTGCTACATAGTTCACAGCATAGCAGTGTATTTAGTGCATAACATGTCATCTGTACACTTTGGGCTGATGGCTTGAATGAACTCTGTTTCAAAAACAGGACGTTTGATCAAAATTTTACCAACAACAAAACCCAAGATTGTGAATAAGAAGGTAAAATTGGCTGTAAGAAAATGTTAGATATTTGGATACGAAACTTTGAAAACCTACCAGAAAGAATTTACTCTGCAAACAATTAAAATATAGATTATTAGCGTGCAGAGTCTACCAAAAATCACCTCTGAGATCTGTGGATTTCAGCTGGTTTCTTTTCTTTTTTTATTCAAAAGCTTCCTTTTCTAGCTTTTCTTTGTCCTCTCAGACAGCAGACCCTCCAGCAGAGAAAACACACACAGGATAAAAGTGGGGATAATAAGCAGAAGTTAACAGACATTTAATGGAGTATAATTTTTCTGTTAGTTTATTTTCTGTCTGTTAACACTGCTGCTGTTGTTAGTAACCACTTTAACCACAGGACCTTTTAAACCCCACTGAGGGTGATTTAATACCTGCCTCATGATCAGAAATAGGAAAAAAAAAAATCAATATTGTCATAATTTCCCAGTTTTAGTTAATAATAATAATTAGAAAATTGACCAAATTAACCTAAGATTTGTTTGAAAATGTTTGGGGGGGAAAAAGACTTTCCTATTTGTGTCAGTTTACACCAGGACAAAGAAACATCCAGGACCTTTTCAAACACTCTGTGGTCTGATTTCAGGTTTTTAAGACATGAAATCCCCCGTTTATTCTTTAGCTCTCTTTTAAAAAATGCATTATTGTTATTAGATTAATAATATTAATATTTTTTTGGCTCATTTAAATGCACGTTTAATAGAAATTACAACCCAAACATTTTAAGAAAATTATTTTACATAGGTGCAATTACTGAATTTGACAGAAAACATATATACATCTCTTCACATTCACATTTTCACTTATGGTAAAAATTTCTATGTGATACACAATCACGTCAAAGAATTTGTATGATTTATTTAAAGATTTGAATGTTTTAAAGGTTTGAATGTTTTAATATTAAAAATAATTTCAAGAAACAAAATTCCAACAGCTTCAGACTATTTATCTCCAGTGAGTAAAAAATATAATCCAGTGTAAAGCGGACTTTTTTAATGATACACACATCCCTGTATTTAAATTTGATGAAAAAACTCCTAAAAATATTTTTTTTTATTACTGAAAGGAAGTATTCAGTCTACTTCATATATTAAATGTATATGTAAATCATTATGTAATATTCAGATAATGAATTTTTAATTCTTGGTGATTTCAAAGTAAACACTGTTAACAAAAAAGGGTAAAAACAGATGACAAATACATTTAAAATCCTAAAATAAAAAGCACATGAATGACAGCTGACACAGTTTACTGCCCATGTGCAAAAACACACAAAAAGTAAAAACTTACTTTTTGTTTAATACATTTTAATTCCATCAGTTGCAGATTTATCCAGAAATTCCTTGAAATTCCTGGAACAAAAATCTTGGAATTGTCTAACAACATTTCTACGTGAGCTTAACTATAATGGACATCTCTGTAGGTCAATAATAGGTGAAACTACAGGTGCATAAAAAGCTGCATATAAACTTACCTGTGACACCGGGCACCGAGCCGAACAGTTGAATTTATCCTAACGAGATGTTTCCGATGAACAGGGAGACGAAAGGATGGAGGTTTGACTGTGATGTGAAGCCGCTCAGCATCTGACTGAACATCACAGTCAATCAGAGGGCTTCAGTCTGACTACACCTCGCTCTGCATCTCTCTCTCTCTCCCCGTCACACACTCACACACGCTCTCCGTCTCTTTTCCTTTCAAACACACGGACGATTTACCTCACTCGGCCACTCACACTTAATCCACAGAGTGTTTAACTGTCCTTTGAATTATAAAAACTGCTTTCAGTAAAAGTGAGGAACAGGGAGTGTTAAAAAATAGCAAACATAAAAGGGACGAGCACAATGACGAATCTAAAAATGAGCACAAATCTTTAATCTAATCTGCAAACTAATGCAGGAACAGGTGGATGTAAAATGGCAACCAACCTCCATGTTACGATTTTTATAAACACCTAGAAGTGGATGAGAAAGAGCAGAAAACAACAGCAAAGCAGAAGAAAGTGAATAAAGTTGAAACACCGGCCTTGTAGTTTGTTGAAGCTGTGAGAGCAGCACCTTTATTTAGAGCAACTTTAGAGCAGATTTGAAGTTTGAGGAGAACAAATCAAGCGCGAGTAAATTAAATGGTTGCCCCTCTCTCAGCCTGGTTCCTGTAGAGGTCTCTTCCTTTTATAAGGGAGTTCTGCCTTCCCACCATCACCAAGTACGGACCATATAGGAATGTTTGGCTGTTTGGGTTTTCAACGGTCTAAAGTTCAGCCTTGTCTTATTTACAGTGTTAATAAAAGTTACTGTTGGCTGGTTGCCCCACGGGCTCACCACAGCAGGCATATGCATGTTTTTTTTCATACATCTCCATTTAAGGCCTCAGTCAGAGACCAGTGGCTGACCCCCTTGTAACCACCATTCCCCAGTTAAACATGCATATTCCCTGACTGGTTAGTGAGTGGTTGCTGGAGGTTGAAACAGTTTGCATGGATGATGTCGATTTATCTGCAAACACCAGCCGACTACTAGCTGTGCGGTAAGAAAACATAAAAAAAAAAGTGTGACAAACTGAAAATGGAGACTGTTTATCTTCAACGCTGTGTCTTACTGCTGACAAGCAACACAATTCAAAACAGGCAACTTTTATATTGACAGGCAAACTTGCTGTTTTTGATCTATGGCTCTGTGGTTCGTTAGTGTTTGCAGACAAATTGGCATCTTCCACGGGGAACTGTGGCAAACTGTGACCAAAGCAATCACAAGGTCTGTGCTGCAACACCATACATGTTTTCTGCAACCATTTTCACTTAACGACAGCCAAAAACCACTTTCTCGTCGATCAGAGTATACACCGTACACATAGTTACCAGGCAATCACCTTCCAATCTATAGGCCTTTGTGTCTAGGCCTTGACTGATTTCTTTGCACATTTACGGAAAACAGAAATCTCTCACTCACAAAAATATTCAGACTAAAACATGTAGCTACTTACTTATCTAGAAGCTGTCTGAAGTCCATTCATGAACCTTGCAAACAGATCGCTCTTTATGAAAATGATGTCTCTGCATGTCCAGAACGTGAGCTCTGATACTGGAAGCTCTGGTTTCTGTTTGGAGTTGGAGTTCTATTAACAAGTCACATTTTATTCTGCTTATGTAGAAAGCAAAAGTTTCTACTGGCTTGATTTCATTTACATACATTCATTAACAATGGATGTTGAATAGAAAGCAAGGACTCCGATAGCTGCTAGCTAAACCACCCGTGGTTTGTATTCACCTGTGGCTTCTACAGGAGAATACAGCTGATGGGCTCCTAGATTGGTGAAACTTTGGTTTGATACTTGGTTAGTTGATGATCTTGATAATCTAGTATTAGCATGGCTGCTCCAGTCTAGTAGCCAAAGTATCCTGTGGCATGAATGCTCCTGATGTGTTCATTGGACTGTTATTGTTAGATAGAACATAGTTGAGACATATGGTAAAGTGCTTGTGTTAATTGGACAATGTGAGGTTGTTAAAGGCACTTTTTGCTCAGGTAGATACAAGAACTAGTCCACTTACGATGCAGTAACAACTTTGAGGTGAGCACAGTGCCAACTGGCATGAACAACACTGCTGAATAACTTATGAGGGCTGGTACTTTTATCACAGGATTAATTGAAAAATGCTGGTAGTACAGCAGCTACTCCTTTGTGTTGAAAGAAGCCATTTGAGAAGCACGTTAACTTTATTTATTCATCATGAAATGCACAGAAAAGGGGGTTGGAATATTCTCTGAACGTGGCATCAGCCGTCCATTTAATCAACCAATTAATCACCTAAAACGAAACAGGCGTCACTGGACCAATCGCCTCCCTGGCGCACGTTTAAATGTCATATGACAGTGTTGAAGAAAAACACCAGAAGCTGTTGAGAGCAGCATGTAATGGAGAATAGGTCAGATCCAAGTGGGGAACATCTGGAAAGACATCCGATATCTGGACAGTGCATGGAGCCTTAAAAAGGGAGTGTGTGCGTGTTTTAATCAGCAGGCAGTGACGGGTGGAGATTACAGGCTTTAGAGACTTAACTGGCATAAAACAGGGAGGCAGGTAAGGAGAGAACGCACACGCACGCACACGCGCAAGTTCAGGAAGGGAAGTTTTTGTGTTGAGCTCAATGATATTCACGAAAGCAGTTTCTTAAATACAGAAGCATTTATTGAAATAAAATCAGTAACAATTTCACAGTTTAACACTGCAGACAGACAAAACAAATACAGTTTTAAAAGAGTTAAAGTTGCACTAAAACATTTTGGCTAAGAATATTTTAACCTCACAACCTTTAAAAGTGAAAATGCAAGTTAAATAAAGGTGACCTGTTCTGCTCTATTCCTATATTTAATCGGGGACTCTACTTAAGTAGATCTGCATGATTCAGTTCAAACCAAACGTGAAGAGGAAACATCCACAGCTGTATTGTTAGAAAACAAAGTATTCATAGCTGTCAAAGTCTTTACTTTTACATAGGTCTATGTTATTATTTGAAACCTCAGCCATATTTTTTATGAGGGTCTGACGCTGTCATGGAACAGAAAATAAAGGAAAGCAGGAGAGGACCATGAAATCCATGACCAGTTTTAAAAGCAGCGTCCAGCATCTAAATTTCAGTCACAGCTCTGTAGTGTGGTTAAAAGTACTATATGACCGTCTGTAAGGCAACGCAAATGAGGAAAACTAAATTCTGAAGGGTTGATAAACCCAAAAACAGCTGTTCCAAATCTCAATGAAACTAAAACACATCTGGAAAAACTTAATGGAGAGTGGATTTAAGTCATTTTAACTCTTTTTCAATGAAAGCATTGTTTACTCGTCCATACTGAAATAAAATGAAATGTTGGACTGCTGTTTATAGACTGTTTCAGTTAAATATCTGCGAACTCCGGGCCCAGACGAAGAAAGCAGATCCTTAAATAAAGTCTAGAGGATAAATATGAAAACATTGACTCTTGGATGAGGAAAAATGTGCAAACCAATTTAAAAAGAAGCAGATAACCAAGTTCAAAGTGAGACGAAACAAAAGAGATTATGGTTTTTTTTCACCTGAGAAAAAGTTTGTTCTAACACGTGAAACTCTATGACCAAGATTTGGTATTAAAATCATGTAATCCTGCAAAAAATTTAATATACAAATTACAGTAAAGAAGAAAACACTTTGACTTTCAGGCAAAACATCCATTTAAAAAGTAAAATGATCAAAAGAAAAAGTGAGCGCACACCGTGTGGCGACAGAACGCTGATCCGTTTATGTGCAGCTGTGCTGGAAACAGCAACGAGTACCTAACATTTGATGCTCCTGAACGCAGTCGTGGCCACTATGGAAGCTTGTTTTCACCACTGAAAAAGACTTTATTAATGAATTGAAAATTAATTGCAAGTCAAAATTTCAGCTCATTAAGAAGTTGAAATTTTAAAATATGCAATTCTAGATTTTGAAATAATAACTTAGAGCTGCCTGTGATGGGTTTTTTTCTTTGCAGTTATGGAAACGAGCTTCCACAGACCAGAGTTTGTTTCTGTCTTGCAACAGAAGCCAAAAACAATCAAAACAAAAAAAAAAATCTAATCTGCATCGCCCCCTGGAGACTTGGCAGTAGAAATTCAAACTAAATATCTGGCAATGGTCTTTTTGTGAATGGAAAACTTAAGATGGGAATCAGATGAGCTGAATCAACAAACCCATACTGCACCTGAAATGTTAATTTGTTCAAATGTATGTAATGACTTCTTGCCACAGATACTGAGTTGGAAAGTGCTGTGATAACAACTTCAGGAAAATTGAAATTTTAGGACAAAAAACAAAAAAACAAAACAGGAAGATGCGAACATCAGTAACACTTCAAATCAATATTAAAATGAGAAGAGAAACTCGTGGGACCTGGTTTATCTCACATGCTAATGCAGCTGCTTCACTGAATTTTAAACTCATGTAAGAAAATACTGAGTGTTTCTTCTTGAGTTTTTATTTTTTAAATAAACATTTATTTTTGTCTTCAAGTCTTTATTGCCAGGTCAGACTCAAACCCTGGCCTCTGCATTTGGTATACGTCCTTTACTCTATATTAGAATAAAAGATTTATAAGGGGTTTACTGCCTGTTTTGATTGTTTGAATTATTAGTAATATGATTATCTACATAATATCCCCCCAAAAGCAAAGATTAATAAAGTTTTAATCATGTTTAGGTGATTTTTCTCATATTTCAGCTTAAAAAGATTTACTCAAATATTTTGCTGATGATTAAAATCATTGATTTCTGTTGACTAATTTACTAAACAAAGTTAAACTGTCACATTTTGATCTCAAACCCAGACGTCCAGCTCTACCAAAACAGTTTGATAATTATTCACTTAAGAGAATAGTTCAGTGAGTGAACACTTAGATCTGCGTACAGCTGCATTAGATGCTGAAATAAACTGTTTCTTTACTGCTGAAAATAAATAGAAACCAATTAAAGGAATTCAGGCACTATGAACTCTCCAGCTGCATTATAAACTGTTAACAAAAGCCTAACATAAACGCACCACTACCACCATTAAGTATCCTGTGTCCTGATTGGTCAGACAGGTAGTGACTCAGAGGGGTGGGAGAACAGGGCGGGGCTTCCTAGATGCATAGTGAGAATAATTTTATGATGGCATCTCTGAAAATGAAAGAAGGAGAAAAAAATGACACATAAAAGCATTGCAGATAAACACAAATGAACAAAACTACGCTGAAAAAAGTCCAGAAAAACTCCACTTTATTTTGCTTCAGTGCTTAAATGATCAGGTTCTGTCAGCAACTATAATGACAGAGTTTCACACAGGAATACTTTATGGCTCCATTAGTGTTAGTCATAGCTGTAGTGTTTCTTTTATCTATAACAGAAATGGTAACATGATCTAACATGAATGGTACTGGCTGTGAAAACAAATCTGGAGTTCCACAAAGCTCTATCCAGGGGACACTACTTTTTCCCTCCACACATGCTTCCTTGTAGATCAAATTACAGATGACTACAAAATCTTATTTTGCTGTGTTTCCACTTACAACTACTTATTTATGTAAAATGGCCTGCCACCAGGCTTATGGTTAAAAAGGCTGAATAGGGGTAATTAACCCTTGATGCACTTTTCTGAACTAAGTAGTTTCTGCCATAACCCCGCATTTCAGCCCTGCGTACAAAACAAAATGACTGTGTGTGCATCAGACATTAGTGATGCATAGAGAAGCTTAACTATCTATGAAGCTGTGTTTGGAAAAAGCCAGAACAGTTATCAAACCACATCTTTGAGATATACTGAGATGCAGTATATCAAAATGCATATTTAAGGGTAGAGGGGAGGAAAGCATTAAAGAGGCTTGTAGAAACGGTTTGGATTAACCTTGCTAATTCAATTTGCCCTATGCTGCATTTTGTTAGAGACATGATAATTGCAAGTGGGTTTAAATCTAGCTTAACAAAAAAAAAAACCATGGGTAATTACCACTGTTAAGTCGAGTATACAGAAAGGAAACATTGTTTTTAAACAGGGTACAGGCTGCACATAAATATGACCTGCATTTACTTAATATCGAGTATGAAAACTGAAATTTTAAATACGAACCTGCCATACAGAACCAAATGGTTGCAAACAACCTCGCTTCACCCTGGATCAGGATTTTAACGTTGATCAGAACTTTATGGAAAAGGTCTTTTGCTCCATGAGAAAAAACAAATCTCATGGACCTGCACTTACAAAATTCCTTGAAAATCTGGTGAAGTCCTGAATTTTCAGGCAAACTGAACATGTGTTTGACACCATGCAGTTTGCTTATACACCACATACAAGAGTAATATCCTGCCTCTGTGACAGAACTTAACTTTCTAACAGTTGGAGGAAAAATGGGTTCGTGTTTGACTTCAGCAACATATTTTAATCAGATATTTTTTTAAATAATTTGACATGAATAGAAATATTGTGTGCAGGTCTTGAGTTTTTAAACTAAGGCCTCAGCCAAGCAGGCTTGAAATGTCTGACATGCAGACATTCCTGGCATTAAAAACCTCAATATGGTTGCTTTGATTGCTAGCATATTGCTGCAATTGCCCACAGCTTGCATGGTAAATGGACTGGTTCTTATAAATCGCTTTTCTAATCTGCTTGAGCTTTGAAATAATTTTATACAACTTATATAAATTACCCATTGAGACACACATTTATACACAGTATCTTGCCCAAGGATCCTTTTGCATGCAGACTGGAGCAGCCAGAAATCGAACTACCAACCTTCCAAGTGGTAGCTCTACCTCGCATGCCAGCGCCAGTGCAAATGAAAGACTGAAAGTGAGCCATCTACATCTTCAGTTTCAAAGCAAAAGTTGTACTTTTCCAAATGTCTTAATTGCAACTTTTACTTTTAAGGGGAATGGTCTCCATTTTGAGTTTGCATCGCAGTTCTCTCGTTTCACTACTTCTGCTTCAGGGAGTTTCAGAAGGTTTATAAAGTTCAGAGCAACACGGCATAAAAACAACTTTGTTCCGGTAGCCGTGAATCAGAGGAACAAATTACAGCTTTTATACACTTCATGATAGAGTGTGGATTATTTATTATTCATTCTTCTTCATTATGTTATGCTTATCTGTTGTTTGAAAATGGATGACTCACCTACTGCAGACAAAGTGTATGTGCAGGCACAAACAAAGTAATCTGAACCTGAAATATTATCATGGCTATTATCAACATATAAGTGTCCGGTGCTTTGAATGCTCAGTAAGAGCAGAAAGTTAAATTAAAAACTATCTTTTAACCAACCTCGTGCTTATGATGGGAAATTACAGTCAAATCAAAGCCTATCACGTTAACAAAGCGTCTATATATCAAAGATCTTTCCGCAGAAAGGTCAGCTACTGTAAAAAACTTGCTAGGAAACATTTCTTCAATCAGAAATTTCACAGCAGCACAGGTGTATGTAGTACAAGTTATTCACTTTAAAGGTTAATACTTTTTTTATGCCTTCGAACAAGCGAGACTAAAACCAAACCGCCCGTCGCCATCATGTTTTTATCTCCCGAGGAAACGCACACTAGTGAGATCAGGTGTGTTTGTCTTACCTGGCGAATGGGATGTATGAGAGGCCGTACCTGTGGGATACAGCAGCAGCAGTCAGAGAGGTAACAAACAGTAACGTGTGTGTGTGTGTGTGTGTGTGTGTGTGTGTGTGTGTGTGTGTGTGTGTTTTCTACCAGGTGAAGGCCAGAAACTGCAGGATACAGAAGAGCAGAGCGAGGCCGTTGTTCTTCCACTGCAGAGACACAACAACACGAATCAAACACAAAAACAACACAACACGACTCGCTGCATCCAAACGTTTCATCGCAGTTTGTTTCTCACCCAGAACGCAGCACAGAGCGTCAGCACCAGACACACCTGCAGAGAGAGACAGTTTCACTCAGGTGGAGCTTACAGGTGAGTTTCAGCTACCTGTCGTTCATCAGGACGCCACGTGGCTTTTCCTGTAAATTCCTGTAAACTCAGTTTTTGGAGCATGTTTGGACAAATTATGAGAGAAATCCGCTTTATTAACATTGACAAAGCGAAAATGATTCACTCCGTGATTAAAAGATTGAATTGATCTTCATCATCTTCAGCTGTAACTTCATCTTCAGCCTTAACCTGGATACAGAGATAAGACACTTTAAACTAGATTTCATCCACAGTTAAATTTGCCAACGCAACACAAATGCAAAAAAACCCCAAAAAACAAAAAACAGATGAAAGCTACTTTAAGCTGCTCCCAGATTCACAGCAGGTAGATCCACGTGTTTGATTTACTGAATAAACCTTATGGGATATGCCTCTCATCCCACAATTGAACTACCTGTATATGTAAACCACTACACTACAGACCCACTAGAAACCTTAGACACAAATAAGGTAAATGCAAATGTGGATAAAAAAATGACTGAAATGTAAAAGTTATACAGAGAGGATTATTTTATTTTATTTTTTAAATAGGAAACCTGTTTTTATGCCCTCTACCTCTCACATTAGTCACACTGGTCAGGTTTTTATTTATCATTGTTTTAATGGTGTTTATTTTTGATTGGTTTTGTTGACTGATTTCACTGTGTTCTAAAATACTCCTGAACAAAAACTAGACTGGACTTCCCACTAGGGCTGGGCCATATTATACCGTTCACGGTAATACCGGTATAATGTTAGGCAACGATAGGAAAATGAAATATCGCGATAGAATATGAGTAAAACGCGCATGCGCTGTGCCTTTGTTTTCATACGCACATGGCCGATTGTTGAGTGAAACAGATGAACCAGAATTTGTTTTGTAAAAATGGTGCAACTTCAGTGATGTGGAACTGGTTTGGTGTTTGTCCATCAGATACACGACAAAGCACATTTTTTTTGCAGAACATGCAAGCGGCCGTTGGACTAAGATGCTCTTAAATCTGGGAGTAATCTGGGTCCTAAACTCCGTATGCTTCAGGTCAAACAAACACTGCAGCATCACTGAGAGTTAAAAATTGTCTAAATTCTTTCATTAATAAAACGATCAGCATTGCTGCTTTACCAGGTGAAACTATGAAGTTTAACTTCCAGGCATCCATGAAAACAAAATGTATTACATTTAACGGAGTTAGAAGCTAGCAGGAAGCTAGCGGAAGTTAGCTCGCTAGTTTCGCTAGTTACCTAAGCATGATATTGCATGTTCTGATTAGAGCAGGGCGATATGGCCAAAAATATTTATCACGATATATATTTGAAAATTTGCGATAACGATATAACTGACGATATAATTGATGCGAGACAAAATACAACTCCACAACATTACTAGCGCAAAAAGACAACCTTCCATTTATTTTCACTTAAACAAGAAGCTGGTTTTTATGTACATTAAAGCTTTATAAAAATGTAACAGTGCAAATGCAAATTCCTTGCTGAAAGTTTAACCAAAAGGCATTTCCAGTAGAAATGGGCTGACATATCCTGAGCATAACCATGTATAATATCCACTGAAGTTAAAAAGAGGTGCTTTGCAACATTAAACTGCAGTGTGCAGTACGTATTTTTCGGACCATAAGGTGCACGGGATTATAAGGCACATTAAGCGAAACAAAGCAGTCAGATAAATCAAACTTTATTCAAGCTTCCTCCACTTCTGTACCATTGATTCATTAATGTTGAATTACCCCCCTTCTGCTCTATTCCCATGTTGTTGCAGTATATTAATGATTAACCTCGTATTGTGGATGGATTATCTCAGTTGTTCTCCTGACTGAAGTTTGGTCCGTTTACAGCATCCTGCCATGCGATTGCATTTGTCTCTAACATCAGGAACCTTCACGTTAACTTTTATAAGTGGAAAAGTGTTAGTGTTCGTCCTCCAGCTTCACTGTTTATGTTATGCTAACATAGCTGTGTCGCTAGCGATCACGTAGCACATCATTATATACCAGCTAGCCCAACTTCAGTAACCCTACAAACGTCACTGCTGTTTAGTTTCCTGTCTTCATTTATGTTGGAAGTGATAGCAGAGCTGTACGTTTGAATTTTTTCAGAAATCTCTCAGTCAGAACATGCTATATCATGCTTAGGTAACTAGCGAAACTAGCGAGCTAACTTCCGCTAGCTTCCTGCTAACTTCTAACTCCGTTAAATGTAATAAATTTTGTTTTCATGGATGCCTGGAAGTTAAACTTCATAGTTACACCTGGTAAAGCAGCAATGCTGATCGTTTTATTAAAGATGAAAGAATTTAGACAGTTTTTAACTCTCAGTGATGCTGCAGTGTTCGTTTGACCTGAAGCATACGGAGTTTAGGACCCAGATTACTCCCAGATTTAAGAGCATCTTAGTCCGACAAATACGACAATAACGACGGCCGCTTGCATGTTCTGCAAAAAAATGTGCTTTGTCGTGTATCTGACGGACAAACACCAAACCAGTTCCACATCACTGAAGTTGCACCATTTTTACAAACCAATTCTGTTTCACTCAACAATCGGCCATGTGCGTATGAAAACAAAGGCACTGCGCATGCGCGTTTTACTCATATTCTATCGCGATATTTCATTTTCCTATCGTTGCCTAACATTATACCGGTATTACCGTGAACGGTATAATATGGCCCAGCCCTAGTTCTGACTGAGAGATTTCTGAAAAAAATCAAACGTACAGCTCTGCTATCACTTCCAACATAAATGAAGACAGGAAACTAAACAGCAGTGACGTTTGTAGGGTTACTGAAGTTGGGCTAGCTGGTATATAATGATGTGCTACGTGATCGCTAGCGACACAGCTATGTTAGCATAACATAAACAGTGAAGCTGGAGGACGAACACTAACACTTTTCCACTTATAAAAGTTAACGTGAAGGTTCCTCATGGTTAGAGACAAATGCAATCGCATGGCAGGATGCTGTAAACGGACCAAACTTCAGTCAGGAGAACAACTGAGATAATCCATCCACAATACGAGGTTAGTCATTAATATACTGCAACAACATGGGAATAGAGCAGCTGCCAGAGAATTCAACATTAATGAATCAATGGTACAGAAGTGGAGGAAGCTTGAATAAAGTTTGATTTATCTGACTGCTTTGTTTCGCTTAATGTGCCTTATAATCCCGTGCACCTTATGGTCCGAAAAATACGTACTGCACACTGCAGTTTAATGTTGCAAAGCACCTCTTTTTAACTTCAGTGGATATTATACATGGTTATGCTCAGGATATGTCAGCCCATTTCTACTGGAAATGCCTTTTGGTTAAACTTTCAGCAAGGAATTTGCATTTGCACTGTTACATTTTTATAAAGCTTTAATGTACATAAAAACCAGCTTCTTGTTTAAGTGAAAATAAATGATAGGTTGTCTTTTTGCGCTAGTAATGTTGTGGAGTTGTATTTTGTCTTGCATCAATTATATCGTCAGTTATATCGTTATCGCAAATTTTCAAATATATATCGTGATAAATATTTTTGACCATATCGCCCTGCTCTACTTCCCACAACCTCGGCACTGACTGGGGACCAGTTCATCTATAGCGCCAAGAATCAGTATCGGGCTTGAAATCCTACCATCGTGACAATCCTAGCTGGACCCCTGCTGTTTGTGTGTTCAGTTTCTTCCATCACTGTGTATTTGAGAAATTGCTCTAATTAAATCAACATGAGGACAGAACAATGAACATCTGGACTTCTTTAAGCTTCGTGAAGATGTCTCAACTTTCATCCAAGAGCTGAAGAAGCTTCTTGGATGAGAGGTGAAATCTACACGAAGCTTAAGTGAGTCCAGTAGCTTTCTTTTCAAGCTCCTTAGACTACCTTGATCTGGATGATTGAGAAACTTACAGACAATAATGAAAAGTTATTTGTTCTCACCAGCATGATGACGGTGGCGAGCACTCGCTCTTTAGCCCACATGGTCTTCAGCTGCCGGCACGGACCCATCAGGAACATGGTGCTGAAAAATAAAAAGATTTCGTCAGTCAAAGCTCTGATTTCTACCACTAGAGGACGACGTTTCCCTTCATAAAAACACTGAAGTCAATACCAGCCCTCAGTGATGATGGGTAATGTAGTATCAGGTTAGGTCTGCTTATTACCTGGACAGAGCGCAGATGTTTCCCAGACTGTAGAGGACAGCGAACACAGCGAGACCAAAGCCAGGGACCCACAACAAGCAGGTACCCTGATAAAGGAAAACAGGAAGTCACCACAGCAAATCTTTTGTCATAGAAACAGTAAACACAGTCCAGGAGTGTCATTTACTCACCAGGATGGAGCACACGACTCCTAAAACGAAGCAGATCAGGAAACCCTTCACCCGTGTCCCCCAGGACAGCGTCGATGCCTGATTGGCTCTCTGCACAGAATTTGTCGTCATTAGCATCATAAGGATCTCACAGACTAAATGTTTGCTATTGATGTTTATTTTTTAGTTGGTGACTTTAGTATTAAAGGAGTTTAAATTGAAGATTGTATATTGACTCAGAATTCATGAAATTGACATTAAGAGTCTTTAGGTTATTCTTCTTTGTGTCAAAGGCAAGTAACTAAAAGCTTTAAAGTGAATGAAGACTAATAACAGCTGTCCAAGGTGCTCAGGAACTTTTACTCGTGCACCATAGAGAGCATCCTGGCGGGAAACATCTTAACCTGGTTCGGGAACAGCACCATGCAGGACAGACGAGCTCTACAGAGGGTTGTGCGGTCAGTTGAGCGCACCATCCGCTCCGAGCTCCCTGACCTGCACTCAATCTACAGCAGGCGGTGCTGGACCAAGGCCAGGAAGATCGTGAAGGACCTCAGCCATCCCAACAACAGACTGTTCTCTCTGTTGAGGTCAGGAAAGCGATTCCGCTCCCTGAAGACCAACACAGAGAGACTGAGGAGGAGCTTCTTCCCGCAGGCGATACGGTCTCTCAATCACACCACCACACAGTACTGACCCACACATATAGTTCTTACACACACACTGGCCATTCTGGACATTGTTTTCACTTCATCACTTAAATCACTTTAAGCATATTTGCACTGCACAAGACACTAAATAATGTGGATTGCACAACACTGGTTACTACATTCTTCATTTCCGGTTAACACTTGTACAGCTGCTGTTATTGTGTATATATTTATTTATATTTATATTTCTTCATACATTCTTATATAGTTCTATATTGTGTATTTTGTTGTACAGTTATTTTATTTTCAACTTTAATTTATATATTTTATCTTATTCTTTCCCAGTTAAATTTACCCTTCATTCTAATTTGTGTTGTACAGTTATTTCATGTTTAACCTTAATTTATATTTTATTCCTTCCTAGTTAAATTTACCCTTTTTAATTTTTCATATTTATTTCCTATCTTATTCATAGCCTTTTCCTTTTTTGTTTTCTTTAGGTCACGAGCAGTTGTCCGAGCATTTCACTACATATCGTACTGTATATGACTGTGTACGTGACAAATAAAATTTGAATTTGAATTTGTTACTATTGTGACATTAAAGTGTAATATCTCAGAAACATTGTTCAACTAACATTTACTCTTCTTCAGTTAACCAAATTTAAACGGTTTTAGCACTTGTTTAGTGCAGGCGAGTCTAACACGGAACCAAAGCGTCCGATTCGACCCACTGGACGCTCATTCATCACTCCAGCTTTTCAATAAAAAGCACATTTGTTCATTTTGTGGCGATGCTTGATGGAAATGTTTGGCAAGTTCAAACCACAAAACCACCACTGCACCACCACTAAAAAAACAACTGAGGTAAAATAACATTGCCTTATTGGATAAAACAGACAAATTTTACCTGTTACTTAATTATTCAGCGAATCACAAATCTTAAAAAAATTGCAATAATATTGTATCGCAGGATTCCTGTTGATTCCCACCTTTAGTACCTGGGTTTAAAATCTCAGTTTTTCCACCTTTGCTGAGTCTGAAAAGGGAAAGTGACTCTTCACTAATCCTTTCAACTATTAATTTAAAAGATGATTAAGTGGGGAGGGTGTGGGAAAATGTGACACTTTAAACAGCTGCATATATTGACAATAGACTCAATAAGTGTGGGAAACTGAGCTGTTTTAATTCTCAGGCCGTCAGGTGGATGAGGTGACAGGTGTTTTACTCTAATTTAAGGTTAGAGATTTTTTAAATCCTGGTTATGGTTCATGTGAGCGTGAGCAGAAACTTCCATATACTCTTTAATGAGGGAGGTCTGTTGTATATATTTGAGCTTATGTGGCCTAACAGTTAAAATGAGTGTGACAGCCCTGGTTCTATCCAACAGATGTCAATTTGATGATAATAAAAACACAATCCCGCCCCGAAATGCACATTTGCGAGCCTCTAAGTATTTCAAATGTGGAAGTTATTAATGCATTGACTTCCTTAAGTTACAACTGTCAAAGTTATTAACTATCAAAAGTAACTTTATTGCCTTACTTCTAGTGCAGTTTTATGATTTGTGCAGAGGTTAAACAGCAAGAAGAAGCAGTTTCGCCTGAATTAACTATACTTTACATGAACATTTGCTTTTATCTTATAACACCAAGTATGCCGAATTAAACACTATAGGTTCCTCTTCGTTATATATCATCCATGTAATGATATCTATCTGAGAATAACCGGGACACTGAAGGAAAATTAAAATCGGTTCACTTCTCAGCCATGTTCTGCAGCGTGTTACTTTCTAAAAGCGCTTTTACGAAGGTTTACTCTGGATGAACATCACACATAATGTTTTCCCCTGGAGATCCAAGTCACACTGGATCTAAAAGTACCATTTTGAAGTCTGTGAGTTCACACCTGGCTGAGTTATATCTGCAGATTCTGGCACTACGTCCGTTTTAACAGGTTAATTTAGCGAAACCAGCTAACCGGCTAAAAACAACATCACCTCCAGTATGCCGCTCCCATCTGCGTTCCCATCATCCTGCCCGCTCAAAACCTTCTTCAATTTATCCATGAACTCCTTTTGTTCTTCAATAAAGGCGATAAAACGCTTCTAAAATTTCCAGAAGCTTCCCAAGCGCTGGAAGTTTCAGGTGTTTTGGGGCGGTGAAGTTACACCGAAGAGAAGAGCACATCAACAGGTGCAGCACTTCCGCCTGCAGTACCGCCCCTGGCCACAATGCACACAAAGGAGGCGCTGTTTCCTTCAGTTCATTTATTGGTAGAGCTCGTTCAAAATTGATTACAGAGATAACTGAGTGATTATCCGCAAATAAAATATAGGAATATTCACACCAAAAGACAAATGAAATGATAAAATATATAACAAGAAAAAAAAAAACCGAGCATAACAGACTAGCAGAAGAAACTATAATTAATTTTAGAAATAAAAAAAACCCAAACTTTTTCTAAGACTGGGAATTTGTTATGTCTGCACCATATTTTTCTCCTCGGACACAATTACATTTTATTTTAAAGTCATTACTGATTACTGTTAAAGTTGCCATAAAAAGAAGACAAAAAGAAAAAAACATACATGAGGTTATTTTGGTTGTTCTCCAGCTTCAGCGCTGGTCCTTTACTATATGACTTATTTGTATCACACTGAGACGATATGGGTGTTAAAACAGGGAATACACTCCCTTATTCTCAGGATAACCTGGTTGCTGAAGCCAGTGTGGCTCAAAATGGAGACAAATAAAAGACAGAGGATGTTTCCTTATATAAATACTGAGTGCTAATCTTTTTGTCTTTTAATCGATTAAATAACGTTTTGCGTCAAAAGTCAGGCTCCTCTTCTGATAATATTCTGAAAGACAATGATAAATTCACTGGGCTCTAATAAAGCGGTTATCCAATAAAGTCCAGTTTAACTGACATTTTTCTTGGTGATGTTAGGGGATTATGACCCTGCTGGAGCTCCAGTAAGATGGCTGTGGCATGGACACCTGAACGTGACATGTTGGACAGCACTGTTTCCTCCACAACCACTCCTCGATACACTGAGGAGAGAGAAGGCATGAGAGAGTACGTTACCATCATGGAGTCCTGGAGCACCAGCATGTAGAGGAACAAGACCATTGAGTCAAAAAGATGTCTTTGTAGTGGTTGCATCTTTTTCTCACTAATGAATGGCCTAAAACGTCTCAGAGGAAGACTGGACTAACATGTCTTTCATTTCTTACAAAATCTTAAAAAGGGGGAAATCAAACTTGTTTTAAACCTATTTTAGTGACTCTGTCATTGTATGAGTGTCTACAGTCATCTACTTGACCTCTTCAGTGTCATCCACCTTAGACAGGGCCTTCATTGGACCTCTATAACCCTCCAGGGTCCATCTGTCTGTGCTGAGTTTACTTGTGACCCGTCTATGGTTGCCCAACTTTTAACCCAAGAAAAGGTTTATGTGTTGATGTTGTTGCTGGTATGTGCTACCTCTTTGTGGAAGGTGTGTGTGCACTGTAGCTCTCTGGTGCCGCCAGCGCCGTTATTTAAGTCGTTATGACAGATCAGACACACACTATAAGCATCGCTCTGGAACACACAAACAATTAAAGTCACAAAGAGCCTAAAAACACAATTTAATTTTGTCTTATAAAAATCAGGAAGTGCGTCTACACACCAGCGACATGACGTTACGTCTTCTGAACTGTCCCCGCCTCTCAGGTGGCACAACCTCGGGGATTGTGGTTATGAGAGATTGCCTGCGCTCTGAGGTGGGCACAGCGGCCTCCATAGGTGATGGAAGAAGGCGGCGGGAGGAAGAGCGACGCAACAAAACCCTCGCCGTCACCGGAGCCTGAGTGGACGAGTGGAGACGAGACAGCTGCATGGCCGACAGAGTGGACTGAAGACAAAAAATCAATCAATTAATCAATCAAACTTGATGCAGGGAGCATAAACGCTAAATGCAATTCAAAGTAATTTACAGGCACAAAATGCTGAATACGAACTGCAAATATAGTATATAAGATCATAAAGCAAATTAAGGAGAAAAATATGACTAATAAAGTTAAAAAGTACACATTAAAGTCAATACTCACTATACAAAACTGAAGGATGATTTAAAAAACTGAAATGTCAGTGGACTGCTTATAATAAACATTTAACTCATTACTCTCTGTAAATATTTGCCTTCCTTCTTTCACACAGTTTTATTTCTTTGTTTCTAATTTTTTTCTGCCGTTAAAAAAAGTCTTGAACAAACAAAAGACTCACTGATCCAGTTATCCCATTAACAAAAAACAAACAAACATGTACCTAAAAGCTCCATTAGCACCTCTGGGAGTCTTTACTTCCCCTATAACCAAACTGCAAGGCTGAAGCTTAGAAAACAGTAAACAAGACATTGGTTTATGGATGACAGAGTGTTCATGAGCTGTGAACACCCTGAAGACTGAAAGTATGACTGATATAAACTGATACAACTGTTTTGTAATGGTAACTGCATTAAAACGGGCACCATTTGCTCCTGATCATCCTTCACTACAATGTTATGAAAAAAGGAAAGAGCTAGATGATAAAGTCTTGAAACAAGATATCCATCAGTCTCCTACTCGCTAGCCACCTCCTCCAGGACCTCTGAGGGGGGAGCAAGGTGAATCCAAGACAACTCGAGGACAGACCATCTCCAACTTCTTTCTTCTGGTTGCAAATACCTGAATCCCCTCACCTATGAGGCGTCCAGGATGCATCATAACTAGATGTCCAAACTACCTCAACTGGCTTCTTTCAGTGTGCAGGAGTAGCAGCTCTGCTCTGATCCCCTGTCTCAAAGGGAGACCACAGCCATCAAAGGGAACTCGTATCTTCTGCTTCTATGTGAGATCTGATTCTTTTAACTCTTTTTTAACTGCAACAGACAAATACAGTGCCACCTCAGTGCAGACACTGCACCAATCTGACTGTCAATCACGTGCTCCTCTCTTCCCTGACTTGTAAACAAACCCTGATATAAACTCCTTCACTTTGGGCAGCAGCTCACACCCAATCCATAGTCGGAACCCATTACAACACATTATTGTGAACTCACGGTCCCTCCAAGAGAAGGATGAAGTCACTTTGATTACTGGCAAAATTTATCTCTCTAAAAATTATTGAGATACATGATGATACATCAAGACACACGTTTCACGATATTCCAACAACATGAGTAGGGTTATCTTGCACTGGATTACAAATTTCTAGAAGTTGTTTGTGACATTAACCCAAAAAAAGCACAGACAATGTAACCACAGTTAAATTACCACACTGGTTAAAGGGCAGACATTCTTAATGCATCATCGGTTGCCATCCACTGGAATCTAAGAGCAAGCCCGGCACATTTTCAATTCCAGAGTCCTATGATGCTCTCTTCCAGTTATTTTTCTTGTGATATGTGATTGTTGTATTTTTCAGGGTAAATTATATAGTGGTGCAGAAAAGTAAATGGCTGTGTTTACCTTGTGGGATGGACATGAAAGGTCTCCATGCTTGTCTGTTGGGTTTTTCTGGTAGCAGGCTAAGGATTTGTTCAAGTTGGAGGCAAATTAGATTAATTATTAGGTTCCTGCCAGGTACTCTGATAGTAGCTCTATGGATTCTGGATACAGTCTGAATACATCAAAAAATAGACCTCAGCTGGGAAGCTAAGGCTTAAGTAATGTTTGCCAGATATCATCCCAAGTTGTTCTTACCCAGTGTGCTCTGGGACTGCCACCAGGAGCATCAGATGCCCACACCAGTTTTCAGACTGAACTTCTTCTGGTAGCCTGAGCACTATATCTTATCTTTGAAAGCAAGACCAAAGACTGCATCAAAAAAACTCTTTGGCTCCAAGAATTTCCCAAATTCCCAAATGCCTGTGGACAAGATATTGCAATGCATGAATTCAATTCTCATTACCTTCCCCATCATGGCAAGATGGGAAGCAGGTCATGCACAAGTTAAAAGGAGCGACTGACCACTGTATCCCAATTAGACCGAGTATCCACACAGCCAGATGGCCATGACCGTCTGGACTGAATGACTCTTCCTGAATGATAAAGGAGATGAACTTTTTCTTGACCTTGAAGACAGCACTTGACAAAATGAACAAAATCTCAACAAACAACCTATTACTGTCTGCTCTTGAGCTTAGGACTGTATCACTAAGGAATGTTTCCAATTTTTAAGTATTTGAAGAACTTCTTGTGCTTAAGTTCCTGTGATTGACGACTTGTCCACAACAACATTTGAATCTTAATTATGGCTCAGCATATCAAAGAAGGCAAGCATTAATGACTACCCCTCCCTTTGACCACACACTACTGCACTTTACAGTTGGTCTGGAGTTGTACAGTTACTGGTGTTCTTACCGGACATGGCAGTGATGCTCGGCGGCCCGACTTTACCGCTGCCGGAGGCTCCGGGCTGCTTCTGCTTTTAAGTCTTCCTCCCTCTGACTCGTCATCTTCATCTTCTTCCTCTCCTACTTTACTCTGCTGTTCCCCTCCCCGGTACCGCTGCATCCAAGCGTTGAAAATCCTGGCATCTTCCTCATCATCATCCTCTTCCTCCTCATCCTCCTCCTGTTCCTTATCCTCTGCTGTTAGAGCAAATGGGTCCTCGGGGTCCGAAAATACTTCAGCTTCTTCTCTGTCAGGATCCATTACGAGGATATGTATGTTTACCCTTGTGGTGCAGAACACTACAGCAGCAACAAACAGACTGTTTCCTGATAAAACTGTGGTGTAAATCGTGAAAAAGCTACAAGCACACTTTTTTAAAAGCTACAATAAATTATTTCAATGAAGAAACAAGAAACACAGCGGCTCATTTCCAGCATTTGGCAACCAGACGGCCATAGAGGAGGCCAGCAGGAGCCGAGGAGCCTCCAAGGAACGGGCCTGACTGTCGACCTTTCTCCACCCCCCGCAGATCCATCCGAAGTCCACACAAAGTCCGGCCTCCAGCTCTATTGTTTGTGTTTTCTGTATTTCGAGCGTCTCTTTGCTCTCTGTGCTGCTCTGGCCTGAAGCCTGTTAATCCAGGTACTGAAATCCAGGAGAGAGAGCAGGGAGATTACTGGACAGGCTTACAGGATCTGTGTCACTTCACTGCACCCCAGCTCTTTATTGATTAATGGTGTAATCAATCTGATAAATGTTGGAAACCAACACCAGCCCTGTGTGTTTTATTTTGGCTTAAAAAAAAATTCTAATTAACAATATAATATTTTATAACAAATATTTAAGATGGAACATCCTGCACCTTTATCAATGTACTAAAATGTATTTAAATATATATTTTAAATAACTGAAAATGCCTCATATCAGTATTCATATCAGTATTTAAACATTAATTGTAATATTTATTTAAATTACAAACAATTTCAACTAATGATTTTTTTTTAATTGTTAACATTTTTTCTTTAAAGTAATTATCAATATCAGATTTTGGATTTTAGTTAATTGATACAATTTTGTCCTAATCATGATTTTTGCTCTCTAACTCTTTATAGAATTAAATACAATCATATTAAATAAATAAAGTTTCTCAACTTGTTCAGGAGTGAACCTGCTGAGGAGGTAAAACGAGGATAAACTCTATTCTTAAGCACAAATAATGACCTTTAAGCCACACCTGTTCCACTCACCTGGATCACGGACGAAAATAAACCCTACTTCTACGCACGCGTGCACCGGATGTGTTTCTTTGGCTTTTCAAAAAAGGTTCCGGTATAAAGGGGGCGGAGCCGTCGGTAGCTGTAGTGTAAACAGTTAACCGTTAGCCTCTGTAGCTAACATTTTGGAAAAAATTGGGCTTACAGTGAGTGGGTTTGCACGCGGAATGGGTATGTGCTTACTACTCTGTTCTCTTATCGGTTATTTTGGTGCTCTTTAAAAATAAATCAGGATTTTTGTCTCTTTTGATAATTACCGAGCTATAGCCAGCTAGCACCAACTTGTGCGCATGCACCCATACTAACCAAACTCTATGCAAAAATTTTGCTTTTTAAATATGTTCTTAGTTTTTGAAACGTTAATCTTTATTGATTAGCCTCTACCAGCTGATAATAAGTCGATTGTAGCTACATTTTAATTCGGCGTATTTGTAACGCATCAAGCGTGGATTGCTTATGATAAAAGTCGTATATATCACTCTTCCACCAGGCCATCAGACTGCTGAACACGTCATAGACACCTCAGCTTCACTACTGGAACTTTAACATTATGCACTCCACACTGTACAGTAATGCCACTTGTTTGCACATATTCAACTCTGTATATTTATATATTTTATTATTATTATTATTTTTATTTTTTATTTTTATTTTTTACTATTTAATTTGTAAAATGTGTATACACACACACACACACACACACGTAGGAAAATATTTAGTATACACATCCAGAAATGCATATACTATTATATATATATATATATTGTACATATATTTATTAGTTTCAGGTCGGCCATTCTCGTATTTTGCTCGTTTGTGTTGTTGTGTTTGCACATCTCTGTTGCTTGTGGGGCTCGCACACAAGAATTTCACTCGCATGTGCTGTGCCAGTGTGCCTGCACATGTGATGTGACAATAAAAAGTGATTTGATTTGATTTGATTTGATAGCAGATGGCTGCTTGTATTTTAACGGTATTTAAACTGTTAATTAGCAGCAGTTTGGCTGTCATGTAAGTCACTAATCCCTGTATTGCCAACAGTGCATTCACAATAGTAGAATAAGCTGTAATTCACCAACACACCAATCATTTAACGATCACTAATGTGACTAAAGGTAAACATGACACTCCAAGGTCTAAATAAAGCTATATTATATCAAACTGTGCCGATTTAAAACTATATATTGTAATTATTTAGATGTATTTAGTGCGGTTTTATTAAATGCATTCAGTCGATCATAAGCATTGACTTTTAAAATGCTGAGACTTTTTTTTAACAGAGTTTGGTAGCTTCTTTTGTCAGGCAAACTCCCAAGTTACGTTTTTCAAACTTCTGAATTCTCTGGTTTAATCAGAAGATCTTCAACTTCCTGAAATATTTCCACCTCATTTGTTTACTGATAACAGTTTGTCTGTTTATAAATTGTAATAATTATCAATATGATTAGGGTGTGGCCAAATTGGCACACCTAAATGAGCCTTTTTTTTTTTAATTTTATATGGGCACATCTCTAATTTACCTCCCCTGACAAACTAAAGTATGTTACATTCTGAGTTTCCTACATGTTGTTACAGTTGCATTAAGTAAATGGTAAATGGCCTGTATTTATATAGCGCTTTACTAGTCCCTAAGGACCCCAAAGCGCTTTACATATCCAGTCATCCACCCATTCACACACACATTAAGTCACTGTAAGTAAGAATAACATTAGAGTCCTGGTTGGTGTGGGTGCAGCAGCTCCTGACACTGACCCAGATAAGTGATGCTTCCTGCTCTGACATGTCAACCTGTCCTCTCCGGCAGCTTCCCTCCTCTCCCTCTCCTCCCTGCGTCTCCTCGTCCCGCCTCTCCGCCTGCTAACAGCGGCGATGTGGCAGGTCGCACGGCATGAAATGGTGAGGCATTATGGGATGCTGGAGGACTTTGTTTCCCTGGTGACTGAGGCCGTCCCGCAACTGCTGACGGACAGACAGAGGTGTCTGCTGCTGCTGGCTCTGAGGGCAAAGGTTGGTGTTTTGCAAGGAGAGAATGTAACACCTGAATTTGAAGGTGTCATGCACTATCCAATAGTTCCCTTTTCCCACCTGTTTTTAACACATTATGTTGGCTGGATAAGGAATAACAACTTTAAGTGTTAATTAAATCTTTACCACATCTGGTGTAAATGATGTATATGTCATGCATGCTGTACAACATCTGAGAGAGGAGCGTATAATCTGTGTGCCTGGGTATTAGTATAATAGCAACAAAGATACTGATGCAATTTTCATCTCCAAGTGACCTTCGATATTAAAAATAAATAAAGCTTCTGAACAAGTGATGAAATACAGTAAGTGTCAGAAGTCTTTATCAAGATGGTTGCATACTGGCTAGACTTTACTTAAAGGTTCCTCTTGTGCTGCAGAGTGCCTGTTCTGTAGTAGAAAACCCCCAAAGTCCCCAGAATGGTTTTATATTAACATTGATAGTTCCTAGTTTCCACAGTGTTTAGAGGACGAAACAGTTACAAAGTTCATGCACAAGTGTTAGATAAACAATGTAAATGTAATAAATAGGGGGGGGGGGGGGTTCTCGTGGTGTTCCTCAGGGTTCTGTTCTTGGTTCATTTGAATTTCATTTGAGTTATTTTATAGTTAGGTATGTCAACAAATGTTAAAATCTAAACTTTAAACAAAATAGAGTGTGTTACTTTTCCTTTTTAACATTGAAGGGACATGTCAGATTATGTTGTTGTTTGTTGTTTTTTTCTTTAGGTCACGTTGTCAGAACCAAAATCAGCTGCCATCCATTCCCACCTAGACAGGATCCACTCTGAGGCAACGGTGAGACCACAAGTAATTCAGACTATGACTGTGTCTAAAAATTATTTTTATTCAAACTGTTTCCTGTGATTTCATTCAACATGAAAAGTCACTTAACTGGAAGTAATTGATTAAATCCTTTATTTCATGACAAAATCAAAAGAAAACCATGTTAATAGTGAGTGTGTGTCTACAGCTCTTCAGCTTGTTAAATGTTTGAGCAGCACTAAATCGGGACCTTTCTCAAAAAAAATAATGACTTGAAATTCTCTCATTTAATACCAAAAGCATCTCTTTGCTCTCTGTGCTGCTCTGGCCTGAAGCCTGTTAATCCAGCTACTGAAGCCCAGGAGAGAGAGCAGGGAGATTACTGGACAGGCTTACAGGATCTGTGTCACTTCACTGCACCCCAGCTCTTTATTGATTAATGGTGTAATCAATCTGATAAATGTTGGAAACCAACACCAGCCCTGTGTGTTTTATTTTGGCTTTTAAAAAAATAAATAAAATCTAATTAACAATATAATATTTTATAACAAATATTTAAGATGGAACATCCTGCACCTTTATCAGTGCACTAAAATGTATTTAAATATATATTTTAAATAACTGAAAATGCCTCATATCAGTATTTAAACATTAATTGTAATATTTATTTAAATTACAAACAGTTTAAGCTAATAAATTTTTTTAATATGTTAAAAAGCAGTGAGTCATTAATGCAGCACATTTCAATATTTCCTTCTTTAAATGAATTGCTATGACGTTTTCGTGCTTTCAGTCGTCCATATCTAAACTTTGATTGTACAATTGGTCTTCATGACATCAACCATGTCGTTGTTCTCCATTATCAGTTGAACTTCTGCTGCCTTTCATGCAGTCATGTGAGAAAATTAGGACACCCCATTAAATAATCTGCTCTTTATTAAGTAATGTTCATATAACAATGTCCAATCACGTTTTCATGTATTACTGGAAAAGAAAGTGACTTAGTTGCAATTAAACGACAACAACAAAAAATTACACATTTAAAAAACAAAAGTGAACAAAAATGTGTCTTTTAATGGAGGACAAAGTTAGGACACCCTACCCCCTAATAACTAGTGTTGCCTCGTTTGGCTGATATAACTTCAGTGAGACGCCTTTTACCAGTCTCTGACATCGATCAAAAGCAAGTTTGGTTCACTCCTCAATGCAGAATTCTTTCAGCTGTGAGATGTTTGAGGGTTTTCTGGCATGTACAGTCTGTTTTAAGTCACCCCACGTGACATGCAACGTCATGTTGCAGTGTCCAGTTCCGCTTCAGCTTTAATGTTTTTTTACAGATGGTTTCACATGTTCTTCAAGCACCCTCTGATACACAGAATTCATGATGGATTCTATGATGGTGAGCTGGCCAGGTGCTGCTGCAGCAAAGCATCCCCAAACTACAATACTGCCACCTCCATGCTTCACAGTTGGTATGACGTTCTTTTCTTGGAAGACTGTGTTTGGTTTATGCCAAACATGTCTACTGTTCTGGTGTCTAAATGATTCAGGTTTAGACCCATCTGTCCAAAGAATATTATTCCAGAAGTCATGGTCTTTGTCTACATTCACTCTGGCAAACTTCAGTCTGCCCTTAATGTTTCTCTTAGTGAGCAAAGGTTTCCTCCTTGCACACTTCCCATGAAAGTCAAACTTGTGTAGTCTCTTTCTGATAGTAGAGTCATCCACTTTCACGTTGACAGTAGCCAGAGCCTGCTGTAGTTCCTATGATGACATTTTTGGGATTTTTGATGACTTCTTTGGGCGTCTGCTCCGCGGGTGAATATGCTTGGACGGCCAGACCTGGGCATGGTGGCAGTTGTTTTGAATGTCCTCCACTTGTAAACAATTTTCCAGATGGTGGAATGGCTGATGTCAAATTCTTTTGAGATCTTTTTGAATCCCTTACCAGACTCATAAGCGGACACAATTTTCTTTCTGAGGGCATCAGACGGCTCTTAGATCTCACCATGGTGCTCACTTCAACACTTCAAATCTGAGGTTTAAATAGGAAAGGCTCCTTTAAAATGATGGTTAAAGATTTACTGATCATGTGCACCTGACGTGATACACCTGTGTGTGATTTTAACCATTTTAAGTGGGATAACGGGTGGGGTGTCCTAATTCATTCCACACCAGAAATTGTCTTTTAAATTACATTTCACATAAAGTTTTAAAAAGGCTTTTCTTATTTTTAATTGTTTAGTTATATTATTTGGATCCCT